GTATTATTCTTCTGGAATGCGAAGTGGCTGTGAGACATGGCTGCTACGCGAGTGTAAGGTGGATGATGATCTGTAAGGCTCGACTCTCAAAGAGACAGTTTCCTGGGCTCGTTATGTCCACCAGAAAATGCATAAGGCGATAACGAAAGAGAGAGTCCAAGGGTGAGCGGTGTGCGATCATGGTGATGGTACTGAAGCAAGTGGATCCGGACTCAATCAATACCTTTGGAACTTGACTCTTGCCCACGATGTCATCGGAAGCAGCGCTCGACGCGTTTATATCGCGCCAACGCAAACTGCTCGTGGACGAGCGGGCGGCTGAAATAGAACGCAGCTCACTGCTTCTGTCGAACTGTGGTCCAAAACTGCTGGAACAGAAAGGGCTGGCTCTGAATGGACTGGGTGTCGCGTCAATGAATATTGGACTGGGCGGGAAAACGTACGTTGACCGTTGTCAACACCGGAACGACACTCTGACAGTACTGTAGGCTTGTTGAACTCGAACGTCCATCAGCATACCACACATCCCCAAGCTTCCCTCCTCACACCCTTCGGTTCGTGGGGAACCCACAACCGTAAAGCCATACTTGACTCAAAGCACAAAGCCCCGGTGATTTGGCACGCATCGAGGCGAATGTAACAGCGCCAGGCGGGTCATCCGCAAAGAAAGCAAAGAAGGCGACATCGACAACATCAGAGACCAAACCCGCAGAAGGTGTGGTCTATAGGGTCAGCTCGTTCTATAATCTAAGGACTACTTTACGAGTTTAAACAGGTGTCTGACACTCGCATTGTCATGGCATTGGACTCGTCGGATACTTCAGATGACACCGATTTACCAGAACGTTGTCGCGTCGTAAAGATTGCAAATAGCGTTACATACGACAGGTATGTACGCCAGCTATTACCATCCACTGGATACCAACATAGCTATAGAATGGACAAAGCTATAGATGCGCTCGAAAAGACTATCAAGGGCTCTAATGTAATGTCAATCCATTTCACGTTGTCCTACATTCACATACCTGGCCTCAGACCGATGACAAGAATGTACCTCAACTAACGCCACTTGTTCAAGTATTGATGGCAATGAGCGAGGTCTCGAATTTAGTCCCCGTACCACCTATCGAATATTTCGACACAAACCTCAACCAGAGCCAGAAAGACGCCATCAAATTCTGTCTAGAGTCTCCAGAAGTAGCCTGTATACAGTGTACACGGGCCTCCCGGTAAGCTCTCCCCGTCGTCTGAATGCTCTTTCCTAAGTCTCACTAGGGACTGGAAAGACGCACACGCTGATTGAGCTCATCCGCCAACTTACCAGAACCAGTCCCAACGAGAAGCCCAAACGCATCCTTGTGTGCGGTGCATCAAACTTATCCGTGGACAACATACTCGAGCGACTCCTTGCCATACCGTCCGAAGGGAAAGGGGACAAACTCAAAGTCACACGCATTGGCCATCCAGCGCGTGTTATGGCAACACAAAATATATTAGACTCGACGCTTGAGGTGCAAGCTTCTCGAACGGACCAGGTCTGTTCTTTGTGTACTCGATATCGGCGTCTACTGACTATGCTAGGCAGCTTTGGCTAAGGATGTACAGACGGAGCTCGAGACAACCTTGGGTATTCTGTCTGGGACAGGCAAAGGTGCCAAAGGGAAGCGCCCCAAAGGCGCAGAGCGCAGGAAGTTGTGGGACGAGGTCAAGGCTCTTCGAAAAGAGTGGGTAGACTGCATCTTCTTCGATCCCAGTGACTGACACCTACAGGCATCGCAAGCGCGAAGGCGGCGTAGTTGAATCGGTAGTGGGCGATGCTCAAGTCATTTTGGCTACCTGTCACTCTGCCGGTGGGAGGCAAATTCGAAGACATGATTTTGACGTTGTGATCATCGACGAAGCTACCCAGGCAATGGAGGCAGTGAGTGTATACGCTCTTGAACTTCATGTCATACAAACGGATTTGTGAAGGTATGCTGGGTGCCGATATTCAAGGCTAAGAAACTCATCCTGGCTGGAGACCCGAAGCAACTCCCTCCGACGGTGCTGTCCCTCGACAAGAAGAAGAAACTTCAACAGAAGCAGGGGATTAAGGATAAGTCCTCTGCCACGAATAAATCCAAGCCCTCTGCCAAAGCGGCACCAACGAAAGAGGAAGATGACGAATCTGACTCGTCGGGGGACGAAACCGAGGAGGGCGCAGAGAAGAAAACGGCCGTACCCACATCAAAGCCGCGAGTGCCTTCCCTAGTCCCTCCACGCTCGCTGGAAACCACACTGTTTGAGCGCCTGGAGAGAATGTACGGCAACCGTATCAAGCGGATGCTCAACGTTCAATACCGGTATGCCGTGAATGCCCAGTGCCAGCTATTTACTGAACGCCTTGTCAGCATGCACAATAAAATCTGCGAGTTCCCGTCAAAGACATTGTACGGTAACAGGCTCGACTCGCACGAGTCGGTTGCCGAGCACTTGCTCAGCGATGTCGTAGAAGCAGAAGGTGTCGATGAAGAAACCGTTAAAGAAATGTTGGAGACGCCGGTGGTCTTCTTCGATACCGCTGGATGCGAATATTTCGAGCGCACGGATGGCGATGGGGACGAGGGTTCCAAATGCAATGAAAATGAGGCCATGGTAGTCAAGTCGTACATCGACAAATTGGTTTGTCTTTTCGGTTCTGTCAAATGCCGATAGCAAGCTGAAGATAATAGGTCGAGGTTGGGTTGGAGCCATCCCAAATCGCTATCATTTCCCCATATCAAGCTCAAGTGACTCTTCTCAACTCGCTCCTGCGGCCCCAACATGGGCCAAGATTGGAAATCGGCACGGTCGACGGGATGCAAGGAAGAGAGAAGGACACTGTGATTATCAGCATGGTCAGGAGTAATGACAAGGTGAGAGGACATGAATATGAAGCTTGCGCTGCTCTCACAAGTATCCTTAGCGTGAAGTGGGCTTCCTGAAAGAGAAACGGCGTCTCAATGGTATGTCCGGACTGTAAAGAGTCATCACTTAACACTTTTGACAACGAGATACCAGTGGCAATGACAAGAGCGAGACGACATCTAGTGAGTTCTTTTTGAACCATGCCTTTCTCAACGCTAACTATTCGCAAGTGTGTTGTTGGAGATTCATCAACTGTGAAGCACGGTGGAAGTTATCTGAAGAGTTGGCTCAACTGGTTAGAAGCAAATGCAGACCTTCGGTACGGAGGGCTTGAATAACAAACCATGCTCTCATTTGTCAATACATTTTCGCGCACTGTACAAACGGATCTGGAGGAAGTAGCTGTCATTATAACGCTATGCCATTATCCTAGAGTTTTCAATGGATTAGAAAACGTTGAAGGTATCTTTTGCTGCATGGATGCAAAGCATTTGAGCATAGGTACGGTAATGTAGCAGTCACGCTAGGGCGGCGGACCTAACCCCCCCAAAACATAGGTACCTGCATAGGTACCGGTACCGTACCGTACTGTACCATGTACTGCACACCCCCCGCTGGCAGCGGCTGGCAGGGTAGGACCGGTCGGCGGTAGGTACAGTACCTATCACATGATGCATTCACGTGACAATATCACGTGTAGGCTTCGGATCACGATTCACGGCACGGAGCGGGCGGCGGGATGATCGGCGGGCACCCAGGCGTTGGGGGGAGTGGCATGGCTTTCTTTGGGATCCCCAAGGGCTGCAACTTTAGTATAAATTGAAAGTCATTGGGCCATTGTGAGGCTGCTCCAAAAGATGTCTAAATCCAGAGCCATTGTGGGGTCAAAAGCCGCCATTACGAGGCTCAAACGCGTTGAATAGTATGCCTTTAGACCATATCTAGTGTACCACTCACGCAGATGCGAGAAACAAACAGGAAAACAGCCCGAAAAACAAGCAAAACGCAGGGTGTGGCGCAGGTCACATGTTTCCATCACGTGCCGGTACGGTACGGTACCCCTCCTAAATTGGGCATAGGTACGGTACCGGTACTGTACCCCCCGGGGAGCATAGGCCCGCCGCCCTAAGTCACGCATACATTATTCTTCCCACAGAAAGATACAGAGCCTCTCTGAAGTTCTGGAAGGGGGAATCGAACCCCCAGCTACCGCCATACCGGATTGTACTAGCCTCCAAGAGAAGACTGGGCCTAAGAAGAAAAGTGTGCGGGGTAAAGCATGCATCACCTTTGATAATTAACTGCTTACTGGCGTGCAGTGCACTGGTGTGGACGATGCGTAGTTGGCGCCTGACTGGCGTGATGAACTTGAGCCTGGTTCCCAGCAAGTTCACGCAAAACAAAATTGTCCAAAACTTTGTTGTTTGCTGTAGATTAAAGTGAGGGATCCAACAACGGGTCAAGGGTTGTCAATTTCTCTCCAAGCAAACTCTGTCATAGAAAAAGACCCTTGCATAAATACTGTCAAACTAAAAAGTAACTAACGGAACTTCATAAGCCGTTTCGTATTACCCTACGCCTGAACAATGCTAATAGCACAATATGCTTGCATAGTCTTCGCTCCGGAGGCCTGAACCCTCCGATACGTCCGCACGTCTGCAAGGGAGTACGCCTCGCCCTGTTTCCTCCGGCCCACCCACCCCTGCATGCGCACTTAAAACATATGCATGACTTCGTGAGAGTGATGAATGAAGTCGGTATTCTGCCATAAAGGTAGCCGCTGCTAGTCTATCTTTGACTGGACAAAAAATCACAAGGTGCCGCCATCTACACAGAGAAGGTATTTTTCTACGCTTCCTCTGAGCACGCAAAGTCATGAGAGGCATGGCCGCTTTAGTTCGGACCCTCCAAGTCGAAGCTAAGTATAACAGGACTTAGTTGGGGAATTAAGTCCTCGGGTTCAGCGCTGAGCTTGCCCGCATATACCAAAGCAGCGCGCGCGCGCGCCGCAAACGGCGCTGGGCGGACAGTAGTATGACGGTTGAACGTTGAACGTTGACTACTGTGGCACTGCTCAGTGTACCCGGGGAGCGTAAGTAGGTCCACAAAAAGTGTTCCGGTACGGGGAATCGAACCCCGAGCTGCCGCGATGTGTTTGAAAGGCGGCAATGTTAGCCGTTACACCATACCGGATATACGTAGTAAGGGGTGTCACAAGTAAGAATCTAAAGATACACCTCCTTTGACGCTTTGCGCTTGCCAAGCTCATAGTGTTATGTTGGTGTTATGCAGTGAGTAATGAGCAGTGAGTACACTGTGGATTTTAGCGCAATAAGCAGCAGAAAGCCATCCGTGGCGCTTCAATAGCTCCAAACTCATGTACTTAACCCAGACTTACATAACCAACAGAATCATCCACACTCAAGCTCGGTAGCAGTATCATCAAATCCATTGAGGCTACAACTTGCCTCCCTCCATCAGCATGGCATCAACATGGCCCGGTTCTGTTCTCGAGGCATTCACTTCGTCTCCTCTATCTGGCGCTTACAACAAACTACTCTCAGGACTGTTCCCGGTTGAGAGCGCGTTCTGCGTCGTCCCACTGAACAATCATGGCCGTGCGACCTTCGAAGTTCAATATCACGGAAAGCCAGTAATGGTGGTTGACGTTTCACCGGTGGAAGACCTTGGCATCAAGTCGAAGCGTGCTGAAAAGGACAGGAGAATGCGGGAGCGTCTGAGCGACATGGCCGGTACGACATCTGCAATTCTCGTGCTTTAAATCTGATTGTGGCTAGATATCTGTCCAAACGCGAGTATAGTTGGGCTTAGCGCCTTCGGAACAAAACTATCCATTTACCAGAGGACTTGTGGACCAAGTGCCTCGTTGGTACTACCAATGACACCAGACGCGATCGACCAGGACCGCGACTACTTGGTGGACATCGCACCCATCACGCGTTGGAGCACAGAACTGTTGTCCGCTGCTGCAGAAGAGAGAATTCGAACCATCGTGGACGATCTCGCGCGAGATGCCGCTGCGCCTGTCGATAACCCAGCTGTCCCATCTTCATCCGTGCCAGAGACTCCCAGTCAGAGAAGCGTATCTTCTTCTGCAGCGCCTTTGACATCACCATTGATTCTGGAGGCGGAAGATGAAGAGCTGGACGCTGTCATGCTCTCCGGTTCTCCGACGCCCACTTCGAGCCCAGCATACATACCTCCCACACCGTCGGTGCCCACCCCCGCGCCAAAAATCTCCCCTTCGGTATCTCCTTCCTCCTTGCACAAGCTGGACGGGGCACTTCGTCGGCCGCCCATTGCCCCCATACCTACATCCGTCCTTCTGGAAGGAAATGTGGCTGTTGGTTCGTTCTCAGGCCATAAGATAGCAGGCGGAGAAGCATGCGTATCATAAACTCCAAATTGGTTTGTAACGGCCTCGACACCTGACTGGGATTTGATAAAATATATTACTAGGATACACCGTCGGAATACATACTACATCGTGTTTAGCAGAAAATCGTATACTGTATATTATATGGATGCTTTGTTGGGAAGCCAGCTGGTTATCGGAGTCGTCGACAAAGGCAGGAATATCGTCCCATTGGCGTTTGCACCAATCAAGCACGTCAATCCGTCTGAGTTCGACGAAGGTTTCATGGCTAATTTGTCGCTGTAGTAGAGAAAAACGAGCGTATCAGCAATCAGTGAAAATAATTTGCAGCTCAGAGGCTGAGGACAGTGCCGATGAAGGCGATGAAGTTGAGTCCATAAAGCTCCGACAGACAGTGATCATGGGGAGGGAAGCGGCTTGACCAACACCGGCAACAGTGGGAGGAGCCCCGGCCCCCGACAGTATGACCGAAGTTATTAGCTTGCTCCATTTGGTAGACAAAGAGTTGCTTAGTAATAGTAAGGTGCTGGCAGTCGGCGATCTTCCTCTCGACCTTGACAAGCTCAACCCTTTATTCGAATTAAGCTGGTCTTGGCGAGAGGCAGAACTATATTACTGGGCTGAAGAAAATACGATAAAGTGAGGTCGTTTCTTGTTGCAAGTTGGGGGCGACGGCAAACGACAGAAGCAACGGAGAGTAACGTTCCGTTTCGACGCAGCTTCCCCGCCGAGCGCGCACTTGCTACACGCTGTTTCTTGTTCACCATACCGACGCCTTGCTTGCGCAGTGTAGAATTCGAGTTGGACAGTCCCAGCAGACGGTTATCCATTGGCACATCAAACTAGTATTTCTTGAGGGACTTTGATGGCATCCGGATTAGTCAGAAGACACAATGTAATAACAGTACAATAAGTCAATAACATAACTACACACGATAGCAATAGGATCAGTAGATATATGTCGAGCCTTCCAAACGAGCAATGAAAGTAGTCCATTTAATTGGTACCTCCCCACCCCGAATTCCTAGAGGATGAGGTTGTGAGTGTGAGTGTCTTTGCCCGCGGTCGATTGCCCTTAAGCGGCTCCCAATAGTTTTTGGCTTCGCTCTCCCATGTCGCAAACAACCTAGCGTCGGGCAGCACACGCGGTGGATCGTCCTTCTTGTCCTTCTCGATTGGACCCAAATTCCATGGCGCAGGTATACTCTGGCCGTAAGTCAACGGTTTGTTGTCAGCAATAAGCACAGGCGGATGTGCCAGACGGGTCGCGCGCGCGTAGATTTTAGGCTAGACACAGTCAGAACGCGAGAACAGAATACTGGACAGCCAACGTACTGGTAATACGAGCTTGGATAGGTCTGGCAACCGCGAAGACGGCTGGCTTACGACGCTTGTGAGCTTGTCGGGTGCAACGACAGTGCGTTGTGTGACAGTGGGAAATTTGAAATCTTTGTTGTTCTTCATGACTTGGGCGCCGTGGCTATCACCAAGTGCTATGGGATGTGCTGGACCCATGGCAGTCACTCGCGCCTGATTGGAGGTCATATTGGAGAACAAAGTATCGGGGACATCCCATCGTGTCGTATTCTGGGCTAGGGACAGCAGAGCCATCGCGACCTTGTGGCGAAGAGGGTTCCCATTTGCTGTTGTGTTGGTAGACTGGCGGTGGGTAAGCACATGATGATACGCGCCAATAAGCGCCTGGTCAGCCTTTGGCGTAGGAAGCTTCGGCTCTCGGGGCTCTGGTGAAGGAAGGTGGGCAGGAAGGTGGAATTCTGGCTGAGAGGCCAATGACGACTGGTTGTATGGTACCGGCATTAGCCAGTCAGCGCCAGCAAGCGAGGTCAATGCCTCTGCCGGGGCCGCTTGTTGCTGTTGCTGTATAGGCTCTGGCACGGCTTCTGCTTGCGGGGAGGGAGGAGGCGCGTCCTCCATAGTTGGGAATGGTGGCAGGAATTCGGGCACGTGTTCTGGCGGGTCCCAGTCCACTGGTCGATGTCGTTTCCTGTAGGTAGGAGAGGCAGGATTTGAGATTGGCGAGAGTGGTAGGATTGGAAGTGGTTCGATGGGGCGCGGCCCACGCAGCGGCACGTCGACCTCCATTGGGGTGTGCTCGAGCGGTTTCACGCTCGCAGGTTCCGCCATTTCCACATCTTCGTCTTCGTCTTCGCTATCCTCCTCTGCTTCATCCTCGCTATCATATGGCGCGTATACAAGAGGTATAACGTCGTCATAGTCCTGTTTCAGGCCATCGTTCAATTGAGCTATCTGAGGCGTCAGCGGCGCTCGCCGTTGACAAACTCAACGCATAATACCTCGGAATTCATGCAAATCCTCAATCCTGCGCATAGAGCTAATGGCATATCGGTTTAGCTCTAGTCCCTCTGACTTGCCAAAGTCCATAAGCTCCTCAAGGTTGACACCGAGCTCGTTGAGTGCAGAAATTGCATCTTGCGGCGTCAGGCGTGTTCTATCCGCATGGTTTGCGTACTTCGCCGCCGTCGATGTTAACAGCGTCAGGTAGCGGGACAAGAGGTCGGTAAGGACTGTCGTCGTTTGCGTTGTTGAACGTGAAAAGCCCACGGCGTGTAACGTCTTGTAGGTGGCGGATTCCAGCAATTTCTGGGAGGCATTTTCCATCGAGGACAATTAAAGGACAGACGGTATCGGCGTCGTCGCGGTATAGGCGACGATGATGGTGGTAGCAAACTTGTTTGGCGGCGCTTGGCTACGCCCAACGGGAGATCAGTGGCGGCCGTGAAATATCCAGGTTCTACCCTGTAGCAGGGCCTAAACGCTTGGAGTTAGCAGCGAGCTGAAAGGCCTTTGATGGACAACTGACACTGGCAAAAGTGAGGGATACGGTTTTCAATTTCGTGCTAGGCAATTAGTGACCGTACCACGTGTGATATCCAATCTCCACTGAACCATCATGTCCGCCTTTGTACGAGAGTTCAACGAATCGTTTGTTTCCGATGCCTCCAGTCGGTGCTTATCTGTCAAATGTGGCATTCTGCCTCACACTTGCAAGGTCTCTTTGCTAGAGTGAACGACGCTGCCAAGTCTCCTCAGGGCGTCTCCAACGATGTATTAGCTGTTCTAGCAGCTGAGGTTACAAAATTATCGAAGAGTCTTGCGGAATCTATGGATTCACTCCCATCCTACGACAGAAAAGGCTACGAAGCTGTCGGTTTCCTTCCTTAGGCATGCGTCCTCAGACTAAGTGATTTTCTTAGCAATTGAAGGAACTCGAGGCCTCCGTCGAATCATTGCGAAAGACTTCCCAGCCTACTTCCAAGTTTTCTTTCAAACGGAAAGCTGCTGCGCCCAAGACAACGCCTGCCTCTGCTAAGGCTACAACTTCGGTTTCCCCTTCGACAAAGGAGCGCTCCGACGAAGCTATCGTTACTATTGCCGACCGTGTTCACGAAATTGTACACATCGACCATCCAGTTGGCCGCACAACAGACATATCGATCTCCAACTTAACTAGCTGTGTCGTTGACTTACTAGGTTATGCCATATCTGCAGTCCATGTCCACAATGTGCGAGACTCTATCCTTCTTTTGCCGCATCTCCAGTCAACCACAATGATACATGACATGGAAAATTCTATTGTGGTTGTAGGCTGCCATCAGGTCTGCATACTCCCTCTAGGACATTTCTCCGACTGACCATCCCTAGTTTCGAATGCACACCTCGCATGATATCGACGTCTATTTGTCGATACAATCGCAGCCTATTATTGAGCACTGCTCGAACATTCGCTTTACAAGCTATCCCATCTCTCTGGCTC